CCTAACCCCTAAACCCTAAACCGTCTCGAAGCCTCGAAGCCCAGAAAAGCCGCTAGTCGGAGCGCCTGCCAGGAGTGCCATTGCTAGACCGATGCCAAAACCTCTCATCGGGGGACCTCGGGACGCCGCTGGCTTCACCACCTGGGGTTTAGGCTTTTGGGAGTTTGAGGTTTTGGGGCTTTAGGGGTTCAAGGCAGTTAAGGGGTTTAGGAGCTTAGGGTTTAGGGTTTAGGACCTTGTCTCTGGAAGTTGGGGGGGGAGGGGGGGGGGCGGCCTTGGCTTCGCCTACGAGGGCTTCGGGTTCAGAGGCCTAGGGCCTGGCAGGCTTATTCCAGCTTTCGGCGCAGAGTCTAGGGCCGGCGATGCTTGGTGGAGCCCTGCAGGTTGAGAAGAGTGCCAGAGATGCTTCTGCACGGATACACCCCCAGACCCTAAAGCTCCTTTGGAGTTTGAGGATGTCCCGGCCCGCCATGTTTCGAGCCTTAGCAAAGCCTCCGGTGTAGATGGCAAGGTGGCTGCAGGATGTTACGACTAATGTAGAAACACCCTCCTTCTTTCATGGCCTCAACACAAAAGACTCCCTGATCGAGGACAAAACCCTCTAAAAGGGCTTTGGCTCCAACTTGCGCCTCCGATGGCAACTCTTCAGGAGGGCCAGGAGCCTGGATTGAAAGCATGGAATGTCAGGCTTAGAGCGTTTAGGGTGTGTGGGGTTTCGGGCTTAGGGGTCTCACTCGGTCCGGATCAGGGGAACTATCTTCTTCATGCTTCTGGGATGTGCGGTAGTCACCCGGCTTTGGCGCCAGGGCTCTGCACATCCTCAAGCCACCGACAGCGATCTCTCTCTCTCTCTCTCACGCTCTCCCTCTCGCCGTCTCTCTCCTCTACTCCCTCTACTCCCTCTACTATCATCCAGTATCTGTGGTCTCGCTGTCTCTATCCTCTCCCTCTACTCCCTCCTCTACTCCCTCTACTATCATCTAGTATCTATGGCAGCCTGAGGCAGGTGCTGCACAAGCGGCATCTTGGTTCTCTGGATCGCATACCTGGCACACCCCGACAGGGCCGTTCCCTTGGCTTGCTCTCTTGACTTTGCTTACATATAGGTAGTTCAGGGAAAGGTCACGGCTCGTGGTGTAGATGCTAAGTTCTTCAGCTTCTTCAGCTATGAGTTGAGCGCTGAAGAGTTCGCTTCGGGAGATTCAGGACCATCTATTTCAAGCATACGGGATTCGGCTCCGATGCAAAGGCCTGGAAACGAGGCCAAAGCCAAATCACTTCCTTCATAGTTCAGCCACTGGAAAGCAAGGGGAGCCTGCCGCGCCTAGTTGCAAGAAGTCTCCTTTAAGTCTGGAGGGTTTCTAAGCACGGCATCCCGGTACTCCTGCACTCTGAACCGTGAAGTCTTTGAGTCGGGTTGGGCCCAGGACTTCGCTTTGACAGTTTGGGGCGCAGGATTTCAGGTTTAGCTGCCAGGTTCTTTCCGCTCAGGGTTGGATTGGTGTGGCCTTAGACTCTATGCTTGAATCCCACTCATCCCACATTTAAACCCTTACCAAGCCCCAAAAAATCCCCATCCCAAACCAAAAAGCCCAACTAACCCACAAGCCGTAAGCCACCCTGTGAGCCCTTTCGACCCAAAATGACACCAAGATGAGCCTCTTTGACCCAAGATGACAACAATATGCTTCATTCCTCTTGCTTAAGTTTGTACCACAATAAGACTTACGGATGATGCCTAAGGAACGCCCAGAGCTTAAAGACTCAGATGTCCCAGCCCTGCCTCTTTGGTGACCTGGGGGCCCTCTGCGTCTCCAGCGTCCGTGACATCAGCGTTCGCCGCCAAGGAGAAGAAGACCAAGGAGGTCATGGACAAACCCAATCCCAGGATGTTCTCCAGAGGCCTCTTTTTTTGTGCGTGCTTAGGGGTTCTGGGGCTTCGGATTCGGGGCTCATGGTTCGCGGCTTCGGTCTCTCATACGATGGTTCCGTTCTCCGTCTCAAGATTTATTGTAATTCCTGCTGGGTAGCATCTTAAGATGCAACCTTGCGGTCGTCTTTCCCGCCTGCCTCTTGTGGTGCTCCTTCTGCACTCCGAAAAGCCCGAAGTGCCCAGTGAACCAGCCGATGATCATATTACTCAAGTCCCAAACTGTCAGCCCAAGGCCCATCCCGATCAGCTTGATGATGTACGGGCACATCAGGTTTCCGCACATCCAGATGGCACCTCCCACCGCAGCCCATGGCTCGAACACCGGCATTGTGAGCCCGGGCGTGCTTGTTAGCACCATGCCTGTCAACAGCCCCACGAAGAGGATGCCCACGGACATGACAGCGGAGAAGAAGATACCATCACCTGGGATCCCCATTGGGCAAGCATCAAAACGGTAAAGTCAAGGCATCCGAGTCTACAACTAGAAAGGCCTTATAAGCTCCCAGAGGTGACCCAGCCACCGGTGTCTATGCCCTTCACCGGCAAATAGTTGACACCGAAGCCCACGCCCGCGACGAGGCAGCAGCTGTAGCCAAGAAATCGATCACGCGACATCCCCACACCCAACCTGTACGGAGTGACTCAGCAACACCGTTGCGAGCCCAAACCTGCGGAGTGCCAGTCCCTGGGCATGCACAGTTGCTCCAGATTACGGCTCGTTCCACTTCTGGTACTTGTAATCATCTCAGAGCACTAAAACTGCTTTATAAATATTGTGAAAGCACACCCTAAGTCCAAACCTATCAGACCCCTCTACTAGCACAAACCCCTACTTGGTCTCAGACGTCGAGGGTTCAGGGACCTCGCAGCTGTCGGTTCGCAAGTTCGGCGACGAGGGTTCAGCAGTCTTGAAGCCACCAAACTCTCAAGCCTTGTAGACACCCGTACAAAAACCATGTAAAGCCCTTATACACCTCTGCTTCAGCCCTAACAACCTCGTTTCGAAGCCTGCAAGACCCTCGTGAAACCCTTGCAAAAGGACGGGGCCTCGATGGCGAAGATGGGACCCGGCGCTACCGCACCGGCGCGGTAGTTGCAGCTGGCGCCTCGGCGTTTGAGATTCTCTGGGCTCATGCGAAGGAACTCAGAGGCAACCATAGACAAACGTGCAGACGTAACTACACATATGTACATGTATATATATATATATGTACGTATGTATGTATGTATGTATGTATGTATGTATGTACATATCTTTTATGCACGCGTTTATGTGTGTGTGTACATATATGCACATATAGATGTACTTATTTATTACTTATGTATCTGTTTTATTTGTTGGTCTATCTGTGCATTTAGTCTTGTACGCTTGTGTGTATATGTTTGTTTATTTACTTGTTCATATCTGCATATACATATATTTACTTATGCATTTATCTATTTGTTGATTCATGTGTATGTGTATATATGTATATGTGTGTGTTCGTTCATATACTGTATATATATATACATGTATTCGTATGCATATATGGATGTATGTACACAGACGCTTATGTACTTGGTCATCCATTAACCTATTCGCTTGTTTACACGTACACCTATGTCTTTATATTATATATATTATATTATATACATATATATATATGTGTGTGTGTGTGTGTTTGTCTGTGTGTGTGTGCGTACTCGTTCGCTCTACATCCATATTTCTCCATCTCAATCTCTGCGCTGGTCGCAACGCCACGAAGAGCGTGCCGGCCACCTCGTTCTACGAAAGTTCTGTACGAGTCTATCGACAGCAATGAATCACACAGTAAAACCTCCTCGGGAGGGTGTGACACTTTCTCAAAACTTCGTTGCGATTGTCTGGGATCCACAGCGAAATGACAGAAATGGGAGGCCTTCTTACTCTAAGTAAGCCGATCAACCGCAACTATGGCTGACTGCCAGCAAGCCCATTACTGTTGCAGGTGGCGGATTTTGGAATGGCGAGCGGATGCAGGAGCAACTTGTCCAACAAACCTCATGCAAAAGGGCTGAAATTTCAGACTATGCTTTCCGAAAAGGCTCGTGCATTCTGAAACCTCCACCATGCTCAAGCTGAGAACTCTAAGCAACGGATTGTCATCCGGTCGGAGCGATCAAGCAGCCCTCGTGGGGATCCAATAACCTACTGTTTCAAACGTTATACCCCATGTCTGTAGTGATTGCAGGTTGCACGCAGCTCCCTATAATTAGGGGTTATAAACTACTATTTTGTAAGGTTTGGGGCTACAGGACCCACGCACATCAACGATCGGTCTTCTGGCTTACAGGCTGTCAGCGGCGCCATTGGCTCTGGCGTTGCAAAAAATTATCGTGGAAACTAACTTTGGAAAAGCGAAGCAAGTTGCGAAAACTACTTCCTGAGAAGGGCTATCTAGCCTTTACGAGCTAGCCTTGCATCTTTCAGTCCGCAGCCTCCGCTTGTGCCTCTCACAGCTTGTGGTTTTGGTCAAGGATCAGGCCTTTGTGTTTAGGAATTCGACTCACACACTCGCAAAGCAGGCATGGCGATAAGCGTCCGAGTATAGGGTTTAAGGTTGGAGCCCCCGCTTTCCGAACTCATGCTTTGGGGTTTCGTGTCTTGGGGACTACGTTTTGAGGCGCTTTCGGGTGTGTGTCAGTGGGGGTCTTGGGCTTTAGAACCAACCAACAACCCTCCCTTAACCCCCAAAACCCTAACTCTCCACCAAACCCTGAAAACATGGGTGGGTTTGGAAGGAGGAGGTTTGGGAATTTAGGCTTCCTAAGCAGGAGGTACTCCTCAAGTTAAAAAGAGTACAACCCAGGGTACTACAACGGTCCGCAGGAAAGATGGGTGAAGGCGACGATCTCATTCCCCACAGTCAGAACCCAGCAAGACTCTGAAGGCTATGCCCAAAACCAGTTTGAGTGGCAAAAATCTGGCAAATTTCCAGGTGTCCATGAGAGTGAAACCAAACAAACACCCAAAAGAAAGGAACCGGCAGAGCTCTAGATTCATGGATGAAATTTTTGCTTTCAGTTGTCATGCGCTCGCAATGAATGTTAAGAGCTGCTGACAGTAAACATGTAAGTATTGAAATGGACTTGAGGATTCCAACTTGAGGATGTGAAAAGCATCTTCGACTTGAACACGAGACTATGCACAACCCGATCTTCGGTGACATGGATGAAGTTGCGGTGTAGGGTCGCAACACAACACTATGTAAAACACATTTAAGATGTGTTTCACACAGCAATTATATACAATGGCAAAAAGCCAAGGTAGCACATGGAGCACACAGTCACATGTGCATGTATGTAAGTATGCGTGTACGTATCTATCTATCTATCTATCTATCTATCTATCTATGTTTCTATGTATGTATGTGTATATACATATGTACAAATATAAATAAATATAAATATGTGTGTATATATATATATACACGTATATATATATATATACACGCATACATTTGTATATATATATACACAGACAAACCAAGAGTTCGGCTTTTCGCACACAAACAAAAAGTAAACACGACCTTCGATTGTTGATGCGCTGAGCCTCGGGTGGCAAAGTGCTCTAGGCAAGGGGCACTGCTGGCTGTAGGGGCCAACGGATGTCAGGCCCGAAGAGGCCGCACTGGACACTCCAACTAAATCAAGATAGCATGGCACATGCTTAAATCTTACGACTTGGGAAATGTGAACATCCGGTGGAAATTTCATGACATTTCTGCAAGCTAAGTTTGGTGCATAGGGGGCTGCAGGTGTAAACTGTTGGCCTTGAGCAAAGGGGGTGAGAACTACTAAAACCCAAACCCTAACCCCCCAAATCCTTAAACCTCAAACTCGCTGAAAACGCCCAGAAGGTCCGCTCCCGCAACGAGGCCTTTTTTGTTCGTCTGCGTGCAGCTCCTCCACCAAGCGGTCACTGGGTTTTGGGTCTTGGCGACTCAAGGGTTTCAGTTTACCTATAGCTTACCTTTGGTTAGTAGGGAACGGAGGAATGGGAACTATTATAAGTACCATTACCACCATTCTTCCATTCCCTACTAACCAAAGGTAGGATAGTTTCCATTGTGGTTCCTTTTTGGTTTTAACCCAGTGTTATCTTCAGGATCCAGAAAGGAACCACACCGGAGACTGTAGGTACGGATTCATGGAGGTTGGGCTTGAGGGTTTGGGATTTACAGATTCAGGGAGTTCGCGGTTTGCGGTCCTGTTTTTGAGGATTGAAAGGATTTTTGGCTGGGGTTTGGTGCTGTAGGGGTCACTGAGTCGGGGTTCTTGGGTTATGGCTTTCGGGCTTCAGGTTGGGGTGTTTTTGGGTTGAGGCTTCTAGGGTTTAGGGTTTCGACGTCACGTGTGTAAGCGTTTGGCGGGTTACGATTTGAGGCCGGGGCTTCGGGCGTTAAGATTCGGGGCTTTGAGTTTAGGGCTGGGGCGCTCCCAGATGTGCTGGGCAGACATCGGAGATCCGTACACCCTATATAAGCCCCAAACCGACGTTGCAGCAAGAAGCCCTGGGTCCTGACCCAGGGTCACCGGAGCGGGCGTGCACCTCGGATAACAACTCGAAGATTGACTGAGGGTTTCGGGTGTCGACTCACACACTCGCACGCGGGCAGACATGGTTCCCCGGTCCTCCTCCGCTCCGCCAACGGCGCCTTCAAATCACCAGCAGTTCCTTGGCCCTGTTTGTTTGCGGTCGGGCCGAGGCGGACGACGCGAAGCGTTTAAAATAGGGGTCCATTTTAGGGTCCTTTCTATAAGGGTGCCGTACTATGTTGGGGCCGTATAAAGGCACCCTAAATTTAGAGAACTACCCAATATGGTCCAGGGCTTGGGGCCGAGGGTTCGGTCTACAATCTACCACACCCCTCAAATTCCGTACGCCCCCGTGCATGTTTACATTACATGCCCAACAACAGAAGCTGTTAACCCTCAGACAAATTGAAAATCGAAACCTCTTACAAGCCTTGTACACCCCATTCCAAAGACCTGTTCGAACTCCTTGCAAGGCCCTGCAACAAACAAAAAGTTGGCTAGCAGAACACGCTAAACCCTAAACCCTGAACCCTGCAACCCAAAACCCTAAAGCCTAAACCCTAAACCCTCATAGAACCCTTCTAGGACGCCTTAGAGGAACCCAAAAAAGCCCAACACCGCCGGGCCACAGTGACGCGTCTTCGTCAAGGGATGAAAGGCTCGGGAGCCGCCGGGGTGGGGGAGTCGGGCCCTCGAAGCCGAACCTTAGGGTTTTGGGTCTTGGGTTTAGGGTTTTGGGTTTTGGGTTTAGGGTTTTGGGTTTAGGGTTTTGGGTTTAGGGTTTTGGGTTTTTGTGGGTTTGGGCTTTAGGGGTTTCAGCACTCACCACACCTGGGACAAGCCTGTTTATGGCTTTGGGTTTTAGGGGTTGGGGCTTCGGAGTTTAGGGTTTAGGGATTTGGGTTTAAGCTGAGCACAGACTGCAAGATTTCGCTGTGTACGAAGGATCAGCAGAAAAAGTTGCATGTTCCCTCCGCGTTTCCCAGCTGCCCGAAACGTGGAGCGACCTCTTAGACCCACCGAGCGGCAGGTTGATGTAAAGGAAGACATCCTCGCCGGCGTGCTGGCGTGGAAGCGGAGAGATTTCCACACACCTGCTCAAAAAGGCGCTGGGCTTTTCTTGGGGTGCCCTGAGGGGAGAGGGGGGTCGCAGATAGAAAGCCTGGAGCAGAGGTGCTTCCTCGACTCGCCGGGTATGCGCAGCGTCATCGACGGCAGCACCTGCGGAAAGGCGGAGGGAAGCTCAGAAAACGAAGTCTCTTGCGCTTTGAAGCACCGGACATTCGCCCACAGGCGGGCCTGCTTCGCCGGCTCTACCTGATCAGAAAACGAGTCCAACTAAATTCTGAAGACATCTCCGAGTGCGGGGCCTCCTCCTCGCCCCGGGCACGGGCTTTGCGCACCTTTCGTGCGTACCGGCGCAGGACAGCATCGATGCCGGCCCAGTCCAGCGGCCGGGCAAAGCGCTTCAGGGTGGGCATACCCATCTGCACCTCGTTGTGCAAGACGCGCACGCACGCATCGCAATGATCCTCATGTCTGCTTGAAACCGCGCCATGCTCCTGCCTTGGAGTCGTCGGTCCTGCGCACCTCGGGCAGAATCGGGAAGAAGCAAAGGTGAGCCCACGAACATGACGAGCCAAGATGCATATCTCAGGTGGACCTCCTCGATGTCCAGGAGCTCCGTGCTCGCATTCACAAGCAGGGTCATCTCCGCCAGCTCGTCATGGCATTCCACGCAGGATTCCTGGCCAAGCGAGAACCAATCCTTCTTGTGCTTCTTTGCCTGCACCCTCATATCCCGGAATCAAAAGTAACCCTAAACCCTAAACCCTAAACCGGAATCAAAAGGCGGGGCCCTGGCATTCCTTCTACTCGAGACTCCGACAGTCCGACCTTTTCCGAAAGGGTCTTGACAATTCGGCGAACCCTAAACCCTTTTTCCACAGGCTTGAACTGCTAAACCCTAAACCCTAAACCCCTAAACCCTAAACCGGAGGAGTCTTGCTTAGGGGTGCTACAGGGCATTCGGAGGTCAGCTGGCTGAGCGCTCGGAACCCTGCATCACCCCGAAGAGCCCCCGAAGCCCACTGCTGAAAAGCTCTACCAACAGTCTATAGTGGCTCTTGTGGCCTTTAGTCTATATAGTCTCCATTGTACTTCCTCGTTGGGGTTACCTCATGGGATCCTAAATGCAAACTTGGTCAGACCAAAACATGGAACTACAATTGGAGACTATAGGCACGATGCTTTAAGAAGCTTTACCAAGCGACGCTGCTGGCAGCGGAGTGCGCCGTCGGTGCGCGCCTGGAAGCCAGGAGGCTGCTGGGAAGCGCCTTGCCAAAGGGCGAAAGGCGAGAGCAAACGGACCGGAGACGAATTTCAGTGCAAGTCGGGTGGCATTCTGCGCCGGATCCACCTCAGTCAGAGCACCCCCCCTCCCTCCTACAGAATCACTAGGCTCCCACACTAACAGAACACCCCGCAGAGCCCCCGCAGTGCTCAGGGAGATGCTTCCGGCGGCTCCACGGAACGCACATCCTCCTTCAGGGCAAGCCTCGGCACTTTCATTGAGACAAAACGCATCCAACCCGACACCATGTCGAATAAACCAAGCTGCAGGTGGCAGGTCGTGCTCTCGCCATAGAGACAGGGCTGCAGCGAGACGTGAAAAACGTCCACCGAAATCGCCCGGCCCGCGCAATCCCGGAGGGGCACGCGCAGGCAACGCGGGGCAGCGGTGGATTCCAGCTGGACAGTTGTCTCTGGGTCCTCGCCGTCGCTCGCGGCCGGCGCCAGGAAGTGATCGAACAGTTCCTTCGCCTCGTCATCGACGATGAGCTCCCGAAAGCTGCGTCCGGCAAAGTCCTCTCTGCTTGACAAGAGCCGTTGAAGGCATGGTGCACTGCCGCAGATCTGAAAGCTGCCATCGAGAAGCAGTTCTCCGTCAGAGATCCCCTTCAGCATCTGCCGAAAGCCCTGAATCAAGGAGTCTGAGTCTTGCGATTGGAAGGATGCCGCAATCCACTCCCGAACAGCGAACTCGAAGAAGAGGGGCACGGCCATGTATACTAAAGCCTGGACACATGCAGAAAAGACCAACCATGAGGGAATAAGACTGTCTGTGCCACATTCGTTGCCAGGCAGAGGCCCTGCCGCCCCAAGACGCCGTCCTGCTGGTAGCCACTCATGCCAACTAGAATTAAAAGACCCACCCAGCAGAATAGCCGCAAAGGGAGAAGAAGCGAAAGTGTGAGAGGCCAGAGGTTGTTGACGACGCCAAGAGCCAACAGATACGAAAGTCCACCGAGGACCCACCAAGTCGCCGATTGCAGGCAGGGTGCACGGATTAAGTCACAGGTGACAGCAAAGAACAGAACAAGATTCACATGAACCAGCAGCTGGAAGAAGGAGGTCAAGATCTTCAAGCGCACGCGAATCAGCTCCTCACGTCACGGGCATATATTCCATCTTTCACTCCAATGATTCATGGCCGATACAAACTTCTCTACTATAGCCACTACAAAGCCAAATTTGACATGCCCGAAGCAAGTTTTGAAGAGCACTTAACGCTTGACCCTCAAACATCCCGCAGTGCTGAAACGACTAAGGCCCCAAAACCCCTGAACCCTAAACCCACCAACTTCATCCACTCTCCGAACCACTTCGGCACCTACATCTCAGGCCTGCAAAGACCACTTCCCAAAAAAGCATGATGAAAGTGACAATAGATGTAGCAGAAGAAACAGTGATAATGAGAACAAGGAAAACGAGAGAAGAGCAGCAAGCAATCTCGATGATGATGTTCATAGGTCTAGTTCGTAATAGTAACAATGCACTAGTTGATTTGTCATGACCATGACACTGGATAAGGAATAACAGTGATTGATGGTTGCCCAGCGAAACCAGCACTAGCAGCAATCATACTACTAACCATTATTCGATACTACCAGCAATGTTAAACATAAGGCAGACGAATCATAATAGTAATAATGATAATAATCAGCATAACAATAATGTCTCTCGAAGAAGGACAATTAAACACGTATCAGTAAGATGTAGCAAGGAAAAGAAGCATAATTGTCAGACGCATTGTGAATCATGATACACGTATGTTCATAATGGCGTGTGTATCTTATCCGCCGCCTCCCCCAATTTTAGCGAAACTGCATGTTGCCATGCAACGTGGGGTGTCAACCTGCCGAGAACATCACAACTGCTCGAGCAGCTGCAGCTTGAAGCCACAAAGCAGCTGCTTGCCTACACCCTGAACCCGAAAACCCCCTCAGGCTCTCAAGCGCCAAAAGCTTCTGTTGCCATGCTCTGGACCCAAAACCCCAAACTCTAAACCCTTTTTGCATCCGGGCTTTTCGCTGCCGGGGTGCCGCTTCATAGGCTCTTCGAGCTGTAGAAAGCTCCCGCAAAATACAAACAAACCTAAACCCTAAAGCCCTAACCCCTAAGCCCTTTTTTGCATCCAGGACTCTGTTCGGTAGCCGGGAAAGCGCAACATTCAAAAGGTAAGATTACAAATCAAGCTCACATAGCCCTAAGCCCTGAACCCCTAAAGCCCAAACCCTAAAACCCCCAAACCCCTAAACCCTCAGAAACCCTAAACCCCCCTGCTTCTCTCCTCCTCGACGCGGACGGCCATAGGACTGAGACACGAGCCTTTCCCACGAGCCTGGGCATGCGGTTGCGATGCTTCGGGCCCGTAAAGATTTGTAGAACGAATATAAATGCGTGCACATATATATATATATATCTGTGTGTGTGTGTGCGTGTGTCTGTGTGTAAATTTACTATATATGTACACTCTAAATATATATATATATATACTATATATATATGTTAGTTATGTGTGTATATACGTGTCTATATACATATATATATACACACATATCATGAATTTATAGTGTATATATATATATGTGTGTGTGTGGTTATATGTATATGCATATGTGTATGTATGTATG